GAACAAGCTCGCTGAAGCCAGCGGGCCTGCCGCTCGGCCAGAATGACTAGCGCGACCTGGCGCCCGCCCTACCAAGACCGACAAGGGCGTCAGGAAAAATTACGTCGGCAACATCACGACGTGGGGCCCTACTGTGGAGCCGTCGCTTCGGGACCAGCACCTGAGGATCGACGGCAACAAGAACAGTGGGCAGGGGTTTAACACGTACCTGATTCAGGAGACTCACCTCCGCCACCACCAGTTGGAGGAGAAAGAGGCACTCCTGAACAAGTGGGGACCGAAGGCGTGCTTTGCGGCATCCCAACCCTCCACCAAGTCCGCGGGGGGCTCGAGAGGAGGCGTTATGATCGCCATGAGGTCGCACTTCAAAGGTTCGTTCTTTCGGGGGTTTGCGGCGTATGGCAGTATTTCGGGGGCTACTGCTGGAAACCGTGGAATTCAAGAACAAGCTGCAGGAAAAGATCTGGGTCTACTTCAGATGGAAGACTGGACCGCGATGTCGTGGCACCTCAAGGGCTACGGCCTCGTAGTCAATTCCCTGTACCTGAGGTGCGACCACCCGTCGAAGGAGGGCGCCAATGCGACGCGATCGGCAGAAGAGGCGAGGTTCGCCAAGGCGCTGAGCACGCCATGGAGTATCGCAGGGAACTTCAACGTCAGCCCGACCAAGTTCGCGGCGGAGGGCTCCTGCGGCTACCTGGGCGACGCGTGCACCTACACCACGCCAGAAAACGGATGGACGTCATTCACGTTTCAACCAGATGAAGACCTCCCTGACATTCATCTCAAGGAATGGGGCGCAACGCATATTGGAAAGCCCGTAACAGGGGCTAATGAGACTTGTGACATAGGTCACCAGGCAGAGAAGATAAACGAGGCCTGTAACAGAGGCCAGGACACAGAGGAGCTACCTGAACCAGAAGACCCAGAGCAGAGGCCTGTGACAGAGGCCAGCAGACGCGGAGGTACAACAAGAGCCAGAACGAACATGGACAACCCCGAGGTGGACCTCATCGAGGAAGGCCCCGAGGAGTGGGACATTGCACACTCGGTGGAGGAGGTCACAGTCAACACGAAGCAGACGAAGGAGATCGACACCATCACGATGCACAGATTGTGGGACAAGTACTACGAAATGCGGCAAGACTCCGACAAGGCGGCAGCGCCAGAGCACATCAGCCTCTCGGCTGCGTTCCAGGCGACAGAGAGGCAGGCGAACTCGTTGGGGAAGCAGTACCACCCCGTCACCATCATGGAGAGCTGCGACTGCGACGGCTACGACATCGACGCGAAGGACCAGAAGAGGTACAAAGGAAGAGGCGAGGGATTACAGTTCGAAGGAAAAGACATCAAAGAGTCAGAAGCAAGGCGGGTCAACTACACCAACAGGAAAACGAACTACGAACCCCAAGAAGAGCGTAGACCCGAAGTTGGAGAACTTCGAGGAAATGTGGAACCACGAGAAGACGCACGTGCACGCAGTGGAGGTGATCAGCATGCTCAGGAGCAAGGCAAGGGAAGAGCCCACCCAGAGATGATACTTGGAAGAGTTCGACGAGGGCAATCAACGGACGGCGAACACACTTTCGACACCAACCCAGAGAGTTTAGGCAATGGCTGGTACGGAAAAAGGATCCTACAGAAAGGATACAAGAAAGCACATGGAGACCTGTGGAAGATCAGACAGCGACCCGAGGCCCGAGGAGGAGAAGAGCTCATCAGGGTGAAGCACGCCGAGAGCCACATGACGATCGAGCAGGCGCGTGAACGAAGAGTTCCTGAGGAGGCACGGAAAGGCAATCCCAGAGCCGAAGAGTTGGCAGAGACAGCGGCGGCACCACATGCCATCCCAGAGGCACAAATGGGCTGCTATGACTGGGCCAGGGCTACATCGCACTTAGTCCGCACGCGAATCGGCCAGACGTATATGGAGGAGTTCTCGCAGGTGAAGCCGATGACGTGGGATGAAAAGGCGGAAGCAGAGGCCAAAAGGAAGAAGGGAAAAGACGTGAAGGAGAGCTACCAGCACCTCTTCGAGAACACGCGCCATCGACCTGACGGACGCATGTGGAGATGTGAACGATGCAAGTCCACTGGCAGCACGCAGAGTTCACAGGCAGCGAGATGGTGGCCCCAGAGGTACAAAGGCGCAGCTCGAGAGCAAGATGAACGGCAGGAAGGAGCTCATGGCGGCGTGGCCCTCAAAGGAAAGATATTCCACCGCACACACGCCATCTGGTCAAGGCACAAAGAGCGCTACTTCTGCTGGGCATGCGGAGCCACAGCGGAAAAGCACCTGAGCCGCAAGATGCAGAGGGTATGTGAAGGATGGCCAGCAAGACAAGCATCACGGTACGCACTAAAGTCGCTAAGACGCAAGATGGAGTGGACACCAGAAACAGGTGCGAGTTGGAATAGAGAAACGAAGGTAAAGTCACGAAGTCCGAGGTCAGAAGTATTACACCAAGCACTACGAAAATACGCAAGAAGGAGGCAAGACACCAGGTCAAGCGCACGGACACCGCCTACGACAAGGAGCTCGTCTCACATTCTTGCAAAAGAGTTGTGCCAAGAATGTAGTGGTCGAACGGATCTTGAGCGACAGCTACTGCAAGGAGGCACCAGTCCGACGGCCACGGCTACCCCGTGGACTGCGAGAAGGACGGCGGCGACGCCCGCGTGCCGTCCAACTGAGCGGGAGGCTGACGCCTGCCACTCCAGACAGTCGTTGACTGTTATTAAAATTCAGGAAAAAAATTCAATAACGATTGTGTGCCTCGCGGTGAAACGCAATCAAATTTGGGCGGCCGGCCGCTTGAGCCGACGCGGCCGCGGGCGCACGCTCGCTTCCACTCCTTACGTCCCTCAGCTCGCTATCGAGTCCGCCACCGCCGCGTCCGATGTCCTATGGTGCCCTTTAGGCCTCCTGGTCCTCCTCCCCCCTTTGCCTGTCCCTTGCGTTTTTTCTTTGTCTTCGTCGACGGCGGTGCGCCTGCGGTGGCCCTGACGCCAGAGGCCCCAAAATACTCCCCCAAAACGTCGTCCCCCAGAGGCTCCAAGAGGCCCCCGAGGAGGCAACAAGCATTGATTGCCGTTCGATTGTTCAATGATGTTGACATTCTCGCCTCTGGGTTTCCGACCATCCAAGCCGGCCCAAGATGCCTCCAATATAGCTCCAAAACAGCCCATGAAGCCCCCAAAGAGGGCCCCAAGTCGGCCCAACAGGACCCCAAGATCGCCCAAGAGTCTCGCATGAGGGCCCCAAGACGGCCTTAAAGCGCCCCAAGAGGGCATCAAGAGGGCCCAGAGAGGCCCCCAAGACGGCCTCCGACGGCGTCACACGCGCCAAGAGCCCCCCTAAAACAGGCCCTCAAAAGGCCCAAGGAGACCCGTAGCAGGTCCCCGGGAAACCCCCAGAGAGCCCCTGAGAGGCCTTCTCCTCCATGTCTTCATGTTCTCCCGCTTCACGCGGATATGTTGGCGCTCCAGGGGGGCAGGGTTCACAAGGCCCTTTCCTTTTTTGATCGATGGTTTCCAAGCTGGTCCCAAGACGGCCCCAAGAGAGCCACAAGATGGCCTCAACGGACCTCGAAATAGCCCACAGAGGGCCCCAAGAGGGCTCCAAGAGGCTAACAGGACGACAGGTCTGCATCAGCGAAGGCCTTTTCTTGTTGAATCGTCGTTGTCGTCGCCGTCGCCTTTTGCCTCTTGGATCCTCGTCTTCAAACTCCCCCTCCTTCTCCTCCTTTTTCCTCCTCCTCCTCCAACAGGTTTCCCCTCCTCCTCCTCCTCCTCGTTTTTCTCTCCTCCTCCTCCTCCTCCTCCTCCTCCAACCTAAGAGTCAAAATAAATTCAGTGGGGGGCGTTTTATGTCAAACTCATATTCCGTCCGCTCGTCCTCCTCATCCTCCTGATCCTTTTTCCATCCTGGTTCCTCTTGTTCATCCTTATCATCCTCGTTCCGTATTATCTTCCTCTTCCTCTTCCTCTTCCCTAACACCATTATCGTCATGATCACCATCATCATTCTCATCAGGGTCACCAACACCATCATCAGCATCATCAGAAACCTCATGATCACCGTCGCCGTCTTTACCATAATCCGCATCATCAACATAGCCATAGCCATCATCATGATCAGCATCGCCATCATCATCACCATCGCCGTCGTCATCATGATCAACATCATCTGCAGCAGCATCTTCAGCACCATCGTGGACGATACCATCATCAGCATCATCAGCAGCATCAGCATCACCATCATCAATCAGCAGCATCATCATGAGAAGCAACAACAGCATCAGCATCATCATGATCATCGTCCTCATCATCCGAACAATCGCCTTCCCCACCATCATCATCATCATCATCATCATCATCATCATCATCATCATTCTCATCATCCTCGTCCTAGTCATCATGTTTACCATCATCGTCATCATCATCGTTGTCGTCATCATCATCACCGTCAAAATCAGCATCATCATCACCATCGCCATCGCCATTGCCATCGCCATTGCCATCTTCATCATCATACTCACTATCAGCATCATCCTTAGCAGCAGTATCATTGGAATCTGCATCGTCATCATCAGTATCATCAGCATCAGCATCAGCATCAGCATCAGCATCAGCATCAGCATCAGCATCATCATCATCATCATCATCATCATCATTATGATTATTAGTATTGTTATCCTTATCCTTGTCCCCCTGCTTCCCCTCGTTCGACAGGCCCGCGAACACATATTAGGTGCACTCATGGGTATGCTCAGGCTGATCCAAAAATTCGTTTTGACGGCTTCTTCTTCTTCTTTCTTGCACTGCATGCTTCTACGCCTCCCTGGTCAAGACGACTCGCCTGGACATCGCTGCTGTCTGGGCGAATGGGGATACGCGACGCGTCAATTGACGATTGTTGACCCCTTCGCTCCTCCATGTGGTCATCAACTTGAAGTCTTTCCACAAACCTGAACATAGGTCCTAGATGGGATGATGGCAATGTCAACGCGACGTGGCGCGAAATGGCAAGACGTGCCAAAGGCAACCGGAACTTTCAACGAGGGGGGGCGCAGACGGCGGAGCGCCTCCTCAACCATGCACACTGTACTTCCAGCGCTCTATTGGCACTGGCAAGCCTGGCACGCCAACAGACGGTGTCGGACCAGATGAACCAGCACGGTTGCAGTATTGTGCGTGCGCAAGCCACACCCAAACTGCAGAAGCTCACCGACCTCCCAGTATGCCGCTGATGGCCGAGTCGTCCCAGCGCCACTGGTCCCTAGACGGCACCCAGCTCTTCAACCAGCACTCGTGGCTGCCCTGAATGAAGGTCCACGCCGCGCACCCCGACTGCCCGCCGCAGTGGTTGCAGCACGCCTGCGGGTCCTGGGACCAGGGAGCTTGCAGCAGATTGTTGCCGTCGCTGTTCACGTGCTCCTCCCAGCTGCACTTGGTGTCTGGGCTGGGGCTCGGACCTGGGCTGCTGGGGCACTCGCACCTGTCCGAACCACACTGCGGGCACGCCACGTCACCTGGGGGGCACATCTGCTGCAGGTAGGGGTTGCAGTAGATCGTCTCGGAGAGGAGGCCCTGGAGCGAACTGTTGCTTGGCGCATCAAGGGCCGCCTGGAGGCTCGGCGCCCCGATTTGGCCGCTGATGGCCGAGTCGTCCCAGCGCCACTGGTCCCTAGACGGCACCCAGCTCTTCAACCAGCACTCGTGGCTGCCCTGAATGAAGGTCCACGCCGCGCACCCCGACTGCCCGCCGCAGTGGTTGCAGCACGCCTGCGGGTCCTGGGACCAGGGAGCTTGCAGCAAATTGTTGCCGTCGCTGTTCCTGTGCTCCTCCCAGCTGCACTTGGTGTCTGGGCTGGGGCTCGGACCTGGGCTGCTGGGGCACTCGCACCTGTCCGAACCACACTGCGGGCACGCCACGTCACCTGGGGGGCACATCTGCTGCAGGTAGGGGTTGCAGTAGATCGTCTCGGAGAGGAGGCCCTGGAGCGAGCTGTTGCTTGGCGCATCAAGGGCCGCCTGGAGGCTCGGCGCCCCGATTTGGCCGCTGATGGCCGAGTCGTCCCAGCGCCACTGGTCCCTAGACGGCACCCAGCTCTTCAACCAGCACTCGTGGCTGCCCTGAATGAAGGTCCACGCCACGCACCCCGACTGCTCGCCGCAGTGGTTGCAGCACGCCTGCGGGTCCTGGGACCAGGGAGCTTGCAGCAAATTGTTGCCGTCGCTGTTCACGTGCTCCTCCCAGCTGCACTTGGTGTCTGGGCTGGGGCTCGGACCTGGGCTGCCGGGGCACTCGCACCTGTCCGAACCACACTGCGGGCACGCCACGTCACCTGGGGGGCACATCTGCTGCAGGTAAGGGTTGCAGTAGATCGTGTCGGAGAGGAGGCCCCCAAACTGCCTCTTGGGCGCCGTCCTGTTGAAGCCCAGGCTCAGCGGGATCTGCAGCAGGAGCAATCGGAGGGAGCTGCCGAACGCCATGGCCGATCGCAGGAAGGCCAGAGGAGGCTCGCGGAAGCGACGTGCAGAACAGAGCGGGTAAATCGGGACGAAAACTTGAGCTGGTCGCTGCGGATGAGCCTCCACGTCGTCGACGTCATCCTCTCTTCCCCCCCAGCCAAATGACGCCAGAACGGACGATTCTGGCCAACCCCAGGAAGCCCGCGGCGCGATGTGGCCAACGGGGGTCCAGCGTGCCTTAAGATGGTCAAGTTTGTTGGGATGTCTGGTTCTTGCCCTGGTGCGCAATGGGGAGGGACCTTATTGCGGGCGCCCCATGATGGCCCAGCTTGTTGGGCTCTGTTGGGTCCCCAGATCATTGAGGGTCCTGTGTTGAGTATCCGCCACCGTGCCTGCACGGAGTGGGCGTTAGAGTGCTCGCCTGTTGTCTACGAAGTTGTTTCCCGACCATCATGTGGTGCTGGGTCTTCGTTTTGAAGAGACACCGCCCCCGGTCCCCTCTCCTCCTTCCTCCTCCTCGCCCTCCCTCCTCCGATCCCCTGCCTTTCCCCTCCGCGCGCCACTGTTTCGGCACACCCCTCACACGCTTCGTGGCCCCATAGGGAGCCCCACCGAAGGCACCCGTGGCACAGATCGCATGCGGTTCCCAGCACATTTCAGTACACCCCCACACGTCCCGAGGCCCCACGGGGGGCTACTGAAGGCCCCAGTGGCAAAGCTCGCATGCGGTTCCCCGCCCACTTCGGCACACCCCTCACCGACGACCTCAGTGGCAAAATTCGCACGCGGTTCCCCGCCCATGTCGGCACACACCCCACACACTTCGCGGCCCCGTAGGGAGCCCCACCGAAAGCCCAGTGGCAAAGTTATCATGAAGTTTCCCGCCCATACCAGCACACCCCTCACACACTTCGTGGCCCTATAGGGAGCTCCAACGTTTGCATCAGTGGCGGGGTTCGCATGCGGTTCCCCGCCCATTTCGGCACACTCCTAGCACGCCTCGTGGCCTCAGAGGGAGCTCCACCGAAAGCGGTGCCACAACGCGGCACCCACAAGTGCATAGGGTTGACCTTCGCCCGGATCATTGATAGATGTTGAGGCTCTCGCCTGTCTGGAGATTCGACCGCCCAAGACGGCCCAAGAGGCATCCAAGAGGCTCTCAAGATAGCTCCAATATAGCCCAGGACGCACCCCAACAAGGCCCCGAATCGGCCCCAAAGGGCACAAAGATCGCGCGGGAGTCTACCGAGAGGGTCGTAAAGGTCCCTAAGAGGGCGCCAAGAGGGCCAGACATGCCCCCAACCAAGACGATATCCGAAGGCGTCAGAGGAAAGGCCAAGAAACCCCTAAGACGGCCCAAGCAACCTCAAGTGGCCAGTACGGGTGATTCTGGGGTGGCGTTTTTGCGGGGGCGCGGAAAGGAAGAGGAAAGGCGAAGGAGGAGGGAGCGACGAGGAGAGGAGAGGCGAGGGAGGGGACGACGAGGGGAGTACTGAGACAGAGAAGGGGAGGGAGTAAAGGACAGGAGGAGGCGGCGGAGAAGGGACGGAACTCCCTCCCCCCCCTCGTGGACGGCAGTTGTGCACATTCCTCCTGTGGCGCCTCTTTGGGGGGGGAGAAGGGGGAGAAAAAAAAACGCCAAGAAGGGGAGAACAAAAAAACGACAATGTTTTTAACAAAAAATCGGCGCATGAGGCGGGCTCGTTGTTTAGCTTGAAAATATTGCGCCTGCGGCAGGCTTCTGCAAAGCCTCGCATACTGCCGACGTCCCCGCTGCCCCTCACTCTTATCCGCAACTGCGGGGTGCTGCGTATATGCGTCGTGGCGGGCACTTTCTGGCCGCACCGCTCGCGAAACGGTATTCTACAATATGGGCATTATGTATATATATATATATATATATATATATATTCGGGTCGGACGCGCGCCTCCAAGGAGGACATATCGTATCAGTATGTCTCTGTGCGTCCCACCTAATGCGTGCCAAGAGGGCACCAGCACAGCCCAGCGGGGCCCCCAAGGCGGCATCCGACGGCGTCACGCGGGCCAGCAGCCCCCCGAAGACTGCCCCGGAGGCCCCCAAGAGGCCCCCTACGAGGGCCCGCGTGGGCCTCCGCGCGGCCCCTCCACAGGCCCCCAACAAGGCCCCAGGAAGCCCCAACAGAGCCCCTGCGAGGCATTCGCCTCTTTGTCTTCATTCTCCCCCGCTCCACGCGGAGATGTTTGCGCTCCAGGGGGGCAGCGTTAACTACAGGATTCGGCCTGACCTAAGGAACGATAAATAAGGAACGAGGCCGCTTTTGTTCAAAGTAACTCTACGGAACCCGAAGAAACACCAGGGGGGCCGCCGCCAAAAAGGTAGCAGAACGCATGCAAACCAGAGGTACGATCGAGCCCCTTTTCGAAAAGCACGCGTTCCTTAGTCAAGCCGGACCCTGCAGGACCTCTTCTTTTTTGATCGATGTTTGCCAACCCGGTCACAAGAGAGTCATGCCAGGCCGCAAGGAGGGCGCCAAGAGAGCCAAAAAGGGGGCCCGAACGGCCCCCGAGATGCGAACCCCGCGCCCCCTCGACGTCTTTTCGGGGGGCGGCGTTTCGCATCGGGTCGCTTTTGTGTTAGCCTCGGAGCCCGAGGGCAGTACCCGGATCGGGTATCGTTTAACCGATCCCCATCCCCAGCGGCGTGGCCCGGGCCCCACTGGCCGATTCCCCCCCCTAGATGGGGACATAGGCCGTTCCCTTCGGCTTTCGAGGGGCGTATCCCCAATGTGGGGCGGCGATCTGGCGGGGGTCACGAGGGGGGGGGGCGATGGGGAGGGGGGTCGGTTAACCGATACCGACGGGCGCCGAAAATGGCGAGGCGCACTTCCGCCCTGGCCCCTGCAAAAGTCGGGGAACTGAGACTTTCGCTTAAGTCGGGCCTGTCCCCCTACAGGGGGATTTTGGGCGAAATATGAAAATGTACAAAAATGCACCAAAATGATCAAAACATACTCCAAAAGTGATCCCTCGACTATCTTTGGACGATGTTTTGATTACTTTTCGGGTATTTTGTTTCGTCGAACGCTGGGCGTTTCTGCTGGATGTTGCGTACTGTTTGGCGCGTGTGTGCACCTTGGTCAGCATGGACACGAATGTCCATGACGACGCACTGCACCACCATGCATCGATCAGATCCATCGTCAATCCGCGGGCGATACGCTGGATTGATATTCGTGCGGTGGGAAGTGCGCATCCTGCCCCAGAACTCCTCGCATTCCGGTGGTACCTCCAACGCAGGGGGCAGGTTGCCCCGCTGAACTCTGAGCAGGTTGCCCCGCAGAAATCTGAGCAGGTTGCCCCGCAGAACATGGGGCAGCCATTGGCGCGGCAGGCGCTGCTGCGCTCGCTGCCGATGCGGTAGCGCCCACAGATCCTCTGGGCGTCCTTGGAGTTCCTTGCGGGGTACTGATATCGAAGTCCTGGTGCTTCTTCTCCTTGATGTTGTAGGACTCGGCAGTCTTACCTCTGGGCACTGCTCCTGGCACCTTTGGCGTGGTAGCAAGGAGCTTCTCAGTGCGTTGCGTGGAGGAAGCGCCCCTTGTCCTCCCTTCCAGCGCAGGCGCCCATCCTGCCCCGTGCGTCCGACGTGGTGCAGGGCCGCGACGTGGCACAAGTTCTTTTGGAGTAGGCGTACTGGTGCCCTGAATTCTAGCTGCTGCGGCGGCCGCTGCTGGCCCTCTGGAATGCTGTCGATCAGCAGGTTGCCCCGCATGTCGCTGCTGCTTGCTGCCCCCAGGGTTGGGATCATCTGGCCCCCCCCTCTTCTTTCCCTTGAGCTGAAGATGACCAGAGCCAAGAGATTGGCATGATGAATCAGAAGACGAGGGAAGATCGATCATCCCTGGCTTCGGCGTGGGACTGGCCTTTGCCGTAGCTCCTGCCGGCGTCCCAAGTGCAAATCGCATTGGACCTCGGTCAGGATTCAGATCGATGCCACCTGGCTTCCTGAGGGCCATATTCTTAATAGGTGCATTGTTTTCTGCGCAACTAAATACTTATCGGCGTTCCGTCGTCCGACGATGCGTGTCTTTTTCCAGCCAATAAACTGAGCACGGTAAACAATCTGCCTCCCAGGAGATAGATCCATATCTCTTGTGACAGCGCCCTCGGGGGTCGATCGGAGCATCCGCATCACGCGTGTCGTTCACAGGATCAACTTCTTCAGCCATTTCATCATCTTCATATTCACCAGCTTTTGTTGGCCTTCACCATCTGATTTAGGATCAGCAGGTCTCCCCGCGCGCCGCTCGCGATTGAACTGCGCCAAAGGGTGAGTAGGTATCAAGTTCTGCCAAATGGCATCTGTCTGAGCTATCTCTCCACGAGTGGCGGGGTCCGAATCGTTTTCCGTCAGCCGCTCAAGAATGGCGCAATGCTGAGGTCAGCGCAGCGAGACCGACCATCCCCATGAGACCAAACCCACGGTGTCCTTTTGAAATTCGGGCTTCTTGATGGGCGTCTCATGGGGCAGCCGAGCCAGTGATCAGCATAACTGGGGCACGTGCAGCAAACGCCTCTGTAGAGCTTTCGATCCTCGATGGTGGCCCTTTTGAGATCGCGCTTGACCATCTTTTCCTGCGATTCGGTTTGCCCCGCCTCTGAACGAATGATAATACCTGCATCATCTCGTTTGCACTGACGAAGAGAATACCAGTGCCGGATGCGACGCTCGGCCCAACCCCTTTCAAACCAGTATTCCATCTGGTTTGCGGGCATGTGCTGACGAGCCGGTCCAGCTTCAGTGTGGTCTCTCAAACGCTGCACTTCACCTCCTGGATTTTCCCCTCCTCGATGTCGGTCATCATGAGGCGGGTTTCCCCGCAGACGGTCCTTCCATGGGGGTGCATGCGCTCTTGTCGCCTGCCGTGGCGGGCCCCTCGCGGCCCCCGCATCAGGAGGATGAGGGCGCTGACCACCGCTCGAACGAGCAGCGCTAGAGCGGGCTCGCGCACGGTCTGGCGAGGGGCGGGGAGCTCGACCGCGACGCATCACGCGGCCATCGCCTCCCCGTTCGTCCCCCTCGCCCATTGGGGAGAGACCTGTATCGTCATGGTATCTCTTCCTTATCAAGGATAGGCGGCGCGGCGATCATCCCTGGCTACTGGCGGACCGATCTGACGCAACAGAAGTACACTGACATTCTTCATTATGCCCAAGCTCATATTGAACATGTTCAGACAGATCACCAGCGTCGCGCGGGCTTCCCCGCAGTGGGTCATCATCGATTAATTCCGCGTTTGTCGGATTTCCAATTGCCCGACGATAAAGCATTGCATGCATCTCCTCATCTGTCGAAGCAATGGTAGAATATGAGTCCACGGGTGTCCCCGCCATGCCAAAATCACCTTCGCGGGCATCTGGGAGTCCTCGACAAACTCAATATCTGCAGGCTGCCCCGCGATGGGTGCACCCAGCCACTCTGCCAAGTCGACGTCGCCGTGTTCAGTGAACACATCCTCGAACAGCTCATCGGCGCATTTCTCGAGGGTCATGCTGGCACTTAGATACCTGGCAGGCATGACATGAACAAGCATGGCTGAGCCGTCGGCAAGTTCGGCTAGAAGCGACTCCCAATCAACCTACGGTATGTCGGAGTCCGGTTGAGCCAGATGCACTGACGGACCCCTGTCTCTTCCATCACCTTGGGGGCACTCGAGTCGAAAATGTCGTGCGCTGTGACATATGTCGCACTCCATGGCTTTAACGTTGGCATCATTTGGGTTTCCTCGTCGTCCTTTACCTTTGCCCGATGTATGCCTGCGGTCTCTGCCAGCACCGAAAAACATTTCCTCATGCTGAGGTCCAACGAGAGACGCTAGGAATGCTAGTGCGCCTCGACCATGTAGTCGCCGACGCTCACCTTTACCTTCACTTCGACCCTTGCCTTTTCCTTTAAGTGACCGTCGTACAATACGTCTTACCCTTTCGGACTGGTTTCTTCATGAACCTCCGCCAACGACGCTTGTGTTTTTGATGGCCCAAAAATAAATATTGGGCTTGCTGCTCTTCCGTAAGGCATGTAGGCATACCAGAGCAATCCCAGGCGGTAACTTCATCATCGGAGTACGCATCCGCATCGGCACCGGAGTCGCAGTCGGACTCGGCGGGTCGCCCCGCTGAGCCCATTAGAGTCATAGCTTGCATAGGGGAAGCCGAGTCGAGCGGCCCCCCAGATCTGGCTCAGGGGACTTGCGACCCCGGGGCCGTTCCACCATTCTGAGCCAACAATGTAGTGGTCTGAGTTGGCTGTGCATCGTCATTCCAGACGTTGTTGGCAGGTTGCCCTGCGTTGGCCCCTGCGTGGAAAGTCTCGGTTCGGTGACCGCGGCTGAGATACCGCCAATATTGCCAGGGGTCCTCTCAGCTATGTGAGCATATGACCTCATACGTTCAAGTAGAGCGTAAAATTGTGGTTGGTCCCTCGGCGCGCAGTGGCTCAGAGGCTGCAGGAGTCGCTGCGCACGCGACGTCCCCACTCCAAGAGCTCTGAATAGAATACATATTGAAATTTGGAAGTTGGGGATGTTGAAGCCAGCGGTTTCAGCCTCGTAGCGGGCTATTGCGAGCCGTGTTAACGTCTGGTCGGCACGTAAACCGCATGGACTCGAAAGTCAATGAGAGCCGTGCCAGAAGTGAGTTGGCGTTCCACTTCTAGGTTCTTGGACTTCGTACTTACTTAAGAGGAACATAATGTAGGTGACGCCGTCAGTGCGGCGACCGCCTATATTGACGCCAAAATTAATGATTGTTGGGGGGGCGCTCATGGCCATGGTCCGCGCGAGACCTCCCACATCGCGCTGCAATGCGGCGGCCTGCTGGGAGGGCGTCATGTTGCCTGTGGTCACATTGATCCAGGCATGTACTTGGCGGACGAACTCGCGAAATGGTACTTGACCGGCAGGGTCTCAATGGCGGCCAGTCGTTCTAGTGTCGTCTCCGCCCCGCATGTCCTACCGCACACCAAGTAGCAAAACATATGAGCCCAAAGATAGTAACCCCAATCCAGCGGCCTCGTTGGTCGTAGTCGGGTGTAGTCGGTGGGGACTTATGCTTTGTAGTCGTAAGTCTGCGTGGGTTCGGACGCGGCAGTATATCGTATCGCATGTTTCCATGCATTATATCTTCGAAGAGATTTCCAATCGGAGTAGGTGGGTGGACTTCAGGAGTGAAATAGCGCAGGGATATAAGATGTGAGTAAGGGACATCCGCTGGGACAGAGGTATCGCTGCAACTTTCCTTGCGGTACTGCGTAGTTATGTACACTCCTCCGCGCAATCCCACTGCACCCTGATGTTCCACCATATCCGTAGTCCACAGATAGCGCCGTGGATGGTGAGGACTAGAGTCATAGCTGACCACCATAGGCCAGCTCCGCTACCAAGTTTGAAGGGGGCTGGAAGGCCCAGCCAACAGCTTCGCCTCAGGCGAAGCCAAACTCCTGTTCTGTTGTACCGTAGTAACGATAGTCCCAGTATGAGAGGAGATGCCATCTCAAACAATAGGAAGATCCTTTTGGTCTCACTAACGATTGTGTGCCTCGCGGTGAAGCACAGTCAAATTTGGGCAGCCAGCCGCTTGAGCCGACGCGGCCGCAATCGCACGCTCGCTTCCCCTCCTTACGTCCCTCAGCTCGCTTTCGAGTCCGCCACCGCCGCGTCCGATGTCCTATGGTGCCCTTTAGGCCTCCTGGTCCTCCTCCCCCCTTTGCCTGTCCCTTGCGTTTTTTCTTTGTCTTCGTCGACGGCGGTGCGCCTGCGGTGGCCCTGACGCCAGAGGCCCCAAAATACTCCCCCAAAACGTCGTCCCCCAGAGGCTCCAAGAGGCCCCCGAGGAGGCAACAAGCATTGATTGCCGTTCGATTGTTCAATGATGTTGACATTCTCGCCTCTGGGTTTCCGACCATCCAAGCCGGCCCAAGATGCCTCCAATATAGCTCCAAAACAGCCCATGAAGCCCCCAAAAAAGAGGGCCCCAAGTCGGCCCAACAGGACCCCAAGATCGCCCAAGAGTCTCGCATGAGGGCCCCGAGACGGCCTTAAAGCGCCCCAAGAGGGCATCAAGAGGGCCCAGAGAGGCCCCCAAGACGGCATCCGACGGCGTCACACGCGCCAAGAGCCCCCCTAAAACAGGCCCTCAAAAGGCCCAAGGAGGCCCGTAGCAGGTCCCCGGGAAACCCCCAGAGAGCCCCTGAGAGCCCTTCTCCTTCATGTCTTCATGTTCTCCCGCTTCACGCGGATATGTTGGCGCTCCAGGGGGGCAGGGTTCACAAGGACCTTTCCTTTTTTGATCGATGGTTTCCAAGCTGGTCCCAAGACGGCCCAAAGAGAGCCACAAGATGGCCTCAACAGACCTCGAAATAGCCCACAGAGGGCCCCAAGAGGGCTCCAAGAGGCTAACAGGACGACAGGTCTGCATCAGCGAAGGCCTTTTCTGGTTGAGTCGTCGTTGTCGTCGCCGTCGCCTTTTTCCTCTCGGATCCTCGTCTTCAAACTCCCCCTCCTTCTCCTCCTTTTTCCCCCTCCTCCTCCAACAGGTTTCTTCTCCTCCTCCTCGTTTTTCTCTCCTCCTCCTCCTCCTCCTCCTCCTCCTCCTCCTCCTCCCACCTAAGAGTCAAAAAAAATTCGGGGGGGCGTTTTATGTCAAACTCATATTCCGTCCGCTCGTCCTCCTCATCCTCCTGATCCTTTTTCCATCCTGGTTCCTCTTGTTCATCCTTCTCATCCTCGTTCCGTATTATCTTCCTCTTCCTCTTCCCCTTCCTTAACACCATTATCGTCATGATCACCATCATCATTCTCATCAGGGTCACCAACAACATCATCAGCATCATCAGAAACCTCATCATCACCGTCACCGTCTTTACCATAATCCGCATCATCAACATAGCCATAGCCATCATCATGGTCAGCATCGCCATCATCATCACCATCGCCGTCGTCAGCATGATCAACATCATCTGCAGCAGCATCTTCAGCACCATCGTGGACGATACCATCATCAGCATCATCAGCAGCATCAGCATCACCATCATCAATCAGCAGCATCATCATGAGAAGCAACAACAGCATCAGCATCATCATGATCATCGTCCTCATCATCCGAACAATCGCCTTCCCCACCATCATCATCATCATCATCATCATCATCATCATCGTCATCATCATCCTGGTCCTAGTCATCATGTTTACCATCATCGTCATCATCATCGTTGTCGTCATCATCATCACCGTCAACATCAGCATCATCATCACCATCGCCATCGCCATTGCCATCGCCATTGCCATCTTCATCATCATACTCACTATCAGCATCATCATTAGCAGCAGTATCATTGGAATCTGCATCGTCATCATCAGTATCATCAGCACCATCTTCAGCATCATCATCATCATCATCATCATCATCAGCATCATCATCATCATCAGTATGATTATTAGTATTGTTATCCTTATCCTTGTCCCCCTGCTTCCCCTCGTTCGACAGGCCCGCGAACACATATTAGGTGCACTCATGGGTATGCTCAGGCTGATCCAAAAATTCGTTTTGACGGCTTCTTCTCCTTCTTTCTTGCACTGCATGCTTCTACGCCTCCCTGGTCAAGGCGACTCGCCTGGACATCGCTGCTGTCTGGGCGAATGGGGATACGCGACGCGTCAATTGACGATTGTTGACCCCTTCGCTCCTCCATGTGGTCATCAACTTGAAGTCTCTCCACAAACCTGAACATAGGTCCTGGATGGGATGATGGCAATGTCAACGCGACGTGGCGCGAAATGGCAAGACGTGCCAAAGGCAACCGGAACTTTCAACGAGGGGGGGCGCAGACGGCGGAGCGCCTCCTCAACCATGCACACTGTACTTCCAGCGCTCTATTGGCACTGGCAAGCCTGGCGCGCCAACAGACGGTGTCGGACCAGATGAACCAGCACGGTTGCAGTATTGTGCGTGCGCAAGCCACACCCAAACTGCAGAAGCTCACCGACCTCCCAGTATGCCGCTGATGGCCGAGTCGTCCCAGCGCCACTGGTCCCTAGACGGCACCCAGCTCTTCAACCAGCACTCGTGGCTGCCCTGAATGAAGGTCCACGCCGCGCACCCCGACTGCCCGCCGCAGTGGTTGCAGCACGCCTGCGGGTCCTGGGACCAGGGAGCTTGCAGCAAATTGTTGCCGTCGCTGTTCACGTGCTCCTCCCAGCTGCACTTGGTGTCTGGGCTGGGGCTCGGACTTGGGCTGCTGGGGCACTCGCACCTGTCCGAACCACACTGCGGGCACGCCACGTCGCCTGGGGGGCACATCTGCTGCAGGTAGGGGTTGCAGTAGATCGTCTCGGAGAGGAGGCCCTGGAGCGAGCTGTTGCTTGGCGCATCAAGGGCCGCCTGGAGGCTCGGCGCCCCGATTTGGCCGCTGATGGCCGAGTCGTCCCAGCGCCACTGGTCCCTAGACGGCACCCAGCTCTTCAACCAGCACTCGTGGCTGCCCTGAATGAAGGTCCACGCCGCGCACCCCGACTGCTCGCCGCAGTGGTTGCAGCACGCCTGCGGGTCCTGGGACCAGGGAGCTTGCAGCAAATTGTTGCCGTCGCTGTTCCTGTGCTCCTCCCAGCTGCACTTGGTGTCTGGGCTGGGGCTCGGACCTGGGCTGCCGGGGCACTCGCACCTGTCCGAACCACACTGCGGGCACGCCACGTCACCTGGGGGGCACATCTGCTGCAGGTAGGGGTTGCAGTAGATCGTCTCGGAGAGGAGGCCCTGGAGCGAACTGTTGCTTGGCGCATCAAGGGCCGCCTGGAGGCTCGGCGCCCCGATTTGGCCGCTGATGGCCGAGTCGTCCCAGCGCCACTGGTCCCTAGACGGCACCCAGCTCTTCAACCAGCACTCGTGGCTGCCCTGAATGAAGGTCCACGCCGCGCACCCCGACTGCTCGCCGCAGTGGTTGCAGCACGCCTGCGGGTCCTGGGACCAGGGAGCTTGCAGCAAATTGTTGCCGTCGCTGTTCCTGTGCTCCTCCCAGCTGCACTGGTGTCTGGGCTGGGGCTCGGACCTGGGCTGCCGGGGCATTCGCACCTGTCCGAACCGCACTGCGGGCACGCCACGTCACCTGGGGGGCACATCTGCTGCAGGTAGGGGTTGCAGTAGATCGTCTCGGAGAGGAGGCCCCGAAGCTGCCTCTTGGTCGCCGTCCTGTTGAAGCCCAGGCTCAGCGGGATCGGCAGCAGGAGCAATCGGAGGGAGCTGCCGAACGCCATGGCCGCTCGCAGGAAGGCCAGAGGAGGCTCGCGGAAGCGACGTGCGGAACAGAGCGGGTAAATCGTGACGAAAACTTGAGCTGGTCGCTGCGGATGAGCCTCCACGTCGTCGACGTCATCCTCTCTTCCCCCCAGCCAAATGACGCCAGAACAGACGATTCTGGCCAACCCCAGGAAGCCCGCGGCGCGATGTGGCCGACGGGGGTCCAGCGTGCCTTAAGATGGTCAAGTTTGTTGGGATGTCTGGTTCTTGCCCCGGTGCGCAATGGGGAGGGGCCTTATTGCGGGCGCCCCATGATGGCCCAGCTTGTTGGGCTTTGTGGTGTCTCCAGATCATTGAGGGTCCTGTGTTGAGTATCCGCCACCGTGCCTGCACGGAGCGGGCGTTAGAATGCTCGTCTGTTGTCTACGAAGTTGTTTCCCGACCGTCATGTGGTGATGGGTCCTCGTTTTGAAGAGACAACGCCCCCGGTCCCCTCTCCTACTTCCTCCTCCTCGCCCTCACTCCTCCGATCACCTGCCTTTCCCCTCCGCGCGCCACTGTTTCGGCACACCCCTCACACGTTTCGTGGCCCCATGGGGAGTCCCACCGAAGGCACCAGTGGCACAGATCGCATGCGGTTCCCAGCACATTTCAGAACGCCCCCACACGTCCTGAGGCCCCACAGGGGGCTACTGAAGGCCCCAGTGGCAACGCTCGCATGCGGTTCCCCGCCCACTTCGGCACACCCCTCACCGACGGCCTCAGTGGCAAAGTTCGCACGCGGTTCCCCGCCCATGTCGGCACACACCCCACACACACACACACACACACACACACACACACACACACACACACACACACACACACACACTTCGCGGCCCCGTAGGGAGCCCCACCGAAAGCCCAATGGCAAGGTTATCATGCGGTGTCCCGCCCATACCGGCACACCCCTCACACGCTTCGTGGCCCCATAGGGAGCTCCAACGTTTGCATCAGTGGCGGGGTTCGCATGCGGTTCCCCGCCCATTTCGGCACACTCCTAGCACGCCTCGTGGCCTCATAGGGAGCTCCACCGAAAGCGGTGCCACAACGCGGCACCCACAAGTGCATATGGTTGCCATTCGCCCGGATAATTGATAGATGTTGAGGCTCTCGCCTGTCTGGAGCTTCGACCGCCCAAGACGGCCCAAGAGGCATCCAAGAGGCTCTCAAGATAGCTCCAATATAGCCCAGGACGCACCCCAAGAAGGCCCCGAATCGGCCCCAGAGGGCACAAAGATCGCGCGGGAGTCTACCGAGAGGGTCGTAAAGGTCCCCAAGAGGGCGCCAAGAGGGCCAGACATGCCCCCAACCAAGACGGTATCCGACGGCGTCAGAGGAAAGGCCAAGAAACCCCTAAGACGGCCCAAGAAACCTCAAGTGGCCAGTAAGGGTGATTCTGGGGTGGCGTTTTTGGGGGGGCGCGGAAAGGAAGGGGAAAGGCGAAGGAGGAGGGAGCGACGAGGAGGGGAGAGGCGAAGGAGGAGGGGACGACGAGGGGAGTACTGAGACAGAGAAGGAGAGGGAGTAAGGGACAGGAGGAGGCGGCGGAGAAGGGGCGGAACTCCCTCCCCCCCCCTCGTGGACGGCAGTGGTGCACATTCCTCCTGTGGCGCCTCTTTGGGAGATTTCCCCCCCCCTCCCCCCTCTCCGAAGCCGCCGCTACTGGTTTCGAGGACCGGCCCCGCCACCGCCGCTTCCGATGTCCTATGGCGCCCCTTAGGCCTCCTGGTCCTCCTACCCACTTCGCCTGTCCCTTGCGGTTTGTGTTCGTTAGTCGACGGTGACGCGCGTGCGGTGGCCCTGACGCCAGAGGCCCCAAAAGATTCCCCCAAGACGACGTCGTCCCCCAGAGGCTCCAAGAGGCCCCCGAGGAGGCAACAAGCATTGATTGTCGTTCGATTGTTCAATGATGTTGAAGTTCTCGCCTCTGGGTTTCCGACCATCCAAGCTGGCCCAAGATGCTTCCAAGATAGCTCCAAGACAGCCCATGAAGCACCGAAAGAGGGCCCCAAGTCGGCCAAACAGGACCGCAAGATCACCCAAGAGTCTCCCATGAGGGCCCCAAGACGGCCTTAAAGCGCCCCAAGAGGGCCCAGAGAGGCCCCCAAGACGGCCCCCGAGGGCGTCACACGCGCCAAGAGCTCCCTAAGACTGTCCAAGAGGTCCCAAGAGGCCCCCAAGAGGCTCTCAAGAGGCCCCAAAGAGGCCCGCAGCAGGTCCCCAGGAAGCCCCCCGAGTCCATGAGAGGCCTTCTCCTCCTTGTCTTCATGTTCTCCCGCTTCACGCGGAGATGTTGGCGCTCCAGGGGGGCAGGGCTCAGAAGGACCTCTCCTTGTTTAGTCGATGTTTTCCAGGCTGGTCCCGAGAGGGCCCCAAGAGAGCCACAAGTTGGCCTCAACGGTCCCCGACATAGCCCAAAGGGGGCTCCAAGAGGCTAACAGGACGAAAGGTCTGCATCAGCGAAAGCCTTTCTGGTTGAATCGTCGTCGCCGTCGCCTTGCTCCTCCAAGAACAGACAAATTACTCCAACCAGCCAACCGTGCCGGTCCCCGGCAATCAGCCCATCGTGGGCCGAACGCGCGAGCGCGTCGACCAGCCCCGTCTGCCCCGCGCGATGCCCGTCCGAAAATTCAGAGAACTTTGCTTCCACCGCAGCGTGGTGTGCCACGGGCTCTGAGGCTCTCGGCCGTTCGGGCCCCCGGCCGCAGAGAGGCGGCCTCCGAAACGGCCCCAGGACAGCCGATGAGGCCCCTTGAAGATGCGCCAGGTCGGCCCAGCAGGACCCAAGATCGCCCAAGCGTCTCCCAAAAGGGCCCCAGGAAGGCCCCAATCGGCGTCGCCCCAACGTACTTACACTATATGGGCGCCGCCCCCCCATGGGGCGACGCGCGCACCGAGACATCTTATAGTCAGAGTGAGGGGGCCGAACGGTCATTCATTGTCCCTGAGTGCGTGGCTGAAGTACGGATCCGTGGTGAGGATATTGCTTGAGAGCGAACAACCTTAAAATGATTGTTGTTGTTGCTGTCGTCGTCCCCCCCGCGACCTGGCCCGCGACCCACCCGCGACCCACCTCGCAACCCACCCCGCGAACCAACCGCGACCCACCCGCGACCCACGCCGCGACCCGCTCGCGACCCACCCGCGACCCACCCGCGACCCACCCACGACCCACCCGCGACCCACCCGCGACCCGGCCCACGACCCACCCGCGACCCACCGTCGACCCACCCGCGACCCACTTGCGACCCAACCCGCGGCCCACCGACAATGTTTTAACAAAAAATCGTTGCATGCGGCGGGCTCGTTGTATGGCTTGAAAAGCGCGCCTCCGGAAGTCCGCGTAGAATCGGGTGAAGAGGCGCTGCATCTGCTCGGGCTGCGCCTGGCCGCGCGCGCGCCCGCCCTCTGCGCCCGGCCCGGCAGGGCGAGCCGCAGTGCTCCAGGCACGGAGGAGCAGCGAGCTTCACACTCAGAAACTCTCGGGGCGTACCTCTCTCAGGCGTTGGCGGAACCGGGTTCAGTGGGACCTGGCTCAGTGATGTGTACCGGGGAGCGCCCCCCCGGTCCCACTCCACTCACTGGAATTGCCGTAACCCGAAGAGCATCAGCTACGGCAGACCTGGTTTAGTGATTCCAGTCCATATTTTGGGCTTCGGGGCCAATCACTAACCAGCTGGCTATCTTGCATCGGGCTTGCCGTCACCGGCGCGGCCGCGTGCCGAATGCAGCATCGGCCGCGCGCCGGCGCGAGAAGAGGCAGTCGCAGCGACCCGCCTCTGGAGCGCTCTGCGCAACGCCAGGGCGCAGTGACAGCCAGCACGCCGCAGCGGAAGAAAGGGGTAGCGTTGAGAGGCATCGACCCGGAGTCGGCGATGCATCGCCAACAGGTCGGCGACAGACCCCCGATGGCGAATCCACACGGGGCTGGACGGGGTGGGTTTGTCGGGCCCCTATCGGCGATCGCTGGGCGATCTGGGGTCGATGCATCCCCCCCACCACTGAGTCTATCCCCCCTGACTCGGCGGCGAGCGAAAGGGGAAGTGAGAAGAGGCGGGCCTCCTCGGAAGGCTCGGAAGTCCCCTGGCCCTCTGAG